TATTACACAAGTTTTATTACGATTCCAAATTTTATTTTTCTTTTTTTCTAAAACTTGAGTAATAAATGAGTAGTAGGTCACAAATCTGAAGCCAGGTCAGTTTTTGTCAAATAGATTTAAAAAATTGAGATTGTTTAAATAAAACAAAGTGAGGGATGCTTGCTTCAAGTAATACATTGATTTTTATATTAAAACATATTTAATCTATTGGAATAGATTTTTTTATCATTAAAAATTCAAAGTAATTATTAAATTGGTGAATTACTAAAAGATGATAAAGTTCATGTAGTTCATCAGTTAAACCAAATCTGAATTCAATATATTGGAAATCTTATAGCATAGTGGTAGGGCGTTTGCCTTGCACGCAGCCAACATGGCTGACCTGAGTTCGATTCCTCCACCCCTCTCGGAGAGCCTCGCAAGCTACCGAGAGATTCTCGCCCGCCCGGCAGAGCCTGACAAGCTACCCGTGATGTATTCGATATGCCAAACACAGTAACAAGTGTCACAATGGAGACGTTACTGGGCCCGCTCGAGCAAATCGATGAACAACGGGAGTGACCGTGACCATGACCATAGCTTGAAAGTTACACCTTGTATAAAGAAAGTGAATGCATTTATAAATAGATATTAATATCCATTAGACATATTTAAAAAAACTGAATCAATTCAATTGAAAGTCAGACTTAAAAAGTGCCACACACCCCAGAAGAATTTTGATAAGTTTTTTTAATATAAAGTATCATTTTTTGAAATGGCATTTTAAATATATATATTTTTTAAGTTTTTAATTATACTAATTTTTAAATAACAATTTGAGATACCAATTTAGTCATTAGAAAGAAAAGCTCAACTTTGCAATGTTTCTAGAAATTATTGATATTTTAAATGAAATGATGCACTTTTGTAACCTATATTCAACTGCACTAAAATGTAGAAAAGGTATTTAAATAAAATATTTAAAATAATCTATGCAGATGGGCTGGAGGGATAGCACAGAGGTAGGGCATTTGCCTTGCACGCAGCCAACATGGCCGACCCGAGTTAGATTCCTCTGCCCCTCTCAGAATGCCCAGCAAGCTACCGAGAGTATCTCACCCGCAAGGCAAAGCCTGGCAAGCTACCCGTGGCGTACTCGATATGCCAAACACAGTAACAAGTCTCATGATGGAGACGTTACTGGGCCCACCCGAGCAAATCGATGAACAATGGGAGGACCGCATTAGACCGCATTAGACTATGCAGATATTTTTATATTTAATCTGAAAATCTCTTAGAAAGCTCTTACATTTGTGCTTTATTTTCTTCAACTGGAGAAGGACACATTTAAAAGTTTGCAATCAAAAATCTAGTTCAGGTGGGTGCGTGTGTGGGTCCCACGTGTCAGCATTGATACAATGGAAGTCAAAGGGAAAAAGAAATTCTCAGGAAAAGGTTCAAAGAAATCACAGGAAAAGAGATTTCCTAAGAAAAATGATTCTAGTTCTTCAAAGACACCTCCAAGAAAAGTTGTTAAGGATGGCAAATCTAAAATCACTTCTAAGAACTTTGAGAAAAGTGCCACAAAACCTGGGGAAAAGGGTGTGAAACAGTTTAAGAACAAGCAGCAAGGGGATAAATTACCAAAGAATAAATTTCAGCAGGCAAATAAAAGTAACAGGAAGAGAGAATTCCAGTCTGACAGTCTAAGCGACGAATCAGCAACCAAGAAACCCAAATGGGATGACTTCAAAAAAGGTATATTGCACTGATTGATTTGCATCTGTCAAACCATCCTTGCATGAAATGCAGGGGAGCATTTGATAAAGTTCAGATAACAAGATTCTTGATAACATAGGGATAGAAGAACTATCTTTCAACGTAATAAGGGTCATATACTATAAATATACAGCTACTATACACAATAGTAAAAAAAATCTTAAAATATTTTCTTAAAATAATAAAAATGGCAACACTATCCTCTCTTGCAATGTCTGTATTAACCAGATCAACTGTATACAATAAGAAATAAAAAGGAATCAATATTTAAAAATATCACATATAATAATACAAATAAATGTAAAAACGAAAGAAATATAACACAAAATAAATATACTAAATGTCCTGTATTCTTACATGTAAACAGTACAGGACAAACTGGAAATTAAAAGCATCACATTTATAATTGTGTAAAAAGAATTAACTCCCTAGGAATGAATTTAACAAAAGAGATAAAAGGCCTGAAAATTAATGAAGCACTTGAAAAAGTAATAAAACTTCTAAGACAATGCTAATATCAGAGAAAATATACTAAGAAATAAAAATATATTATCTGTCATGGATGGGATAATTAATATACTCAAAATGTCCATTTTATCAAGAGTAGTATATAGGCTTAATGCAATCTGTATAAAAATTTTATGATACTTCTAAAGGAAATAAAAATACTACACTGATTATATGGAGCATAAAGACTCTGAATGCTTAATTAATCTTAAGAAAAATGAAGCAAAATGGAGGAATCTTGTTACCTAAACCTTCAAGCTATACAGAAAATGATTGTAATTAAAACTATATATGGTATTTAGGAGCCACAGACATATCACAGGAGCTAGGGGTTTTGTACTACATAAACTAACTCCCGCTTCAAACTCCTGTACTATGACATCCCTACCCCAAGTGCCAAGAAGTGTGAACAATGAGCAGAAACACAGAAATAGACCATAGAAGTTGAGCACTGTTGGTTGTAGTCCACACCACCCCCCTCTAGTATATATATATTGCTTTTTTTCAACAAAAACAGAGATCAACACTATATAACCAAGATCTTATCTAAATAAAACCAAAGATATACTGACAATTTATGACTAAAATTTACACTCAGTTGAGAAAGGAAAAGCTCATAAATAAATGATCCTGGGAAAACTGATCATGCACATTTTATCCACAATAAATAAAATCTGATTACTTTCTAAATCATTATCCAAAACACATACAAAATACATGAAAAACTTATATGTGATACCTAAAAATAGAAAATATATATGTCAAAAGTTCTACAACATTAGCATTAAAAATATACTAGGGGACTAAACTATTTACAATCAAATTTTAGGACAATATACATGGAATAATAATGATATATCACCTGCAAGTATGAGTATGAATTATTGTATACTCACATGACTTGCTGCAGAATGGAATTTAGTTGTAGAGATTATAAAGAGCAAACTATCTCAGAAGTTTCTATCTCAAAAGAGAAATATAGAATTAGTTTTTCTATATGTATAAAACACTGTCCTACTATTGTTCCTCAATTTTCTTGAGCGGGCCCAGTTATGTCTCCATTTTGAGACTTGTTGTTACTGTGTGTGGCATATTAAATAAGTCACGGGTACCTTGCCAGGCTTTGCCGTGCGGTCAAGATACTCTTTGTAGCTTGCCAGGCCCTACCCGCTGTGCTACCGTTCCAGCCCTTCTTAAAGAGCCCGGCAATCAATGGAGAGTATCGCACTCGCATGGCAGAGCCTGGCAAGTTACCCGTGACATATTTGACATGCCAAAAAATAGTAACAGGAAGTCTTACAATGGAGACATTACTGGTGCCAGCTCAAGCATATCTATATGTATAGAATAAAAAAATATTATTGGTGGATGGACAAAGCAAAATTAAATTAAGCCAGAGGGCATTTACAGTAGAGCTCAGTCTTTCTGAATGGAAGAGGCTAGGAAAGATATCATGGGTGAAGAAGGTTCAAGGGAGAACCTTGATAAATATTTTGTGTTTTGAATAATTAAAGTTCAAAAATGCAAATGAGATACAAAAAACACAGTATATTTTTAGCTTTAGACATATATTAAAATTATGCTCGCCATGTCTAATGGCACAAATTAGCTAGTATTAATTGCTATCATAAAATAACAATCCAATCATGGAGTATATAAATGGATAAGACACAGAAACACCACTTCTGGGAATATATCTCAGGGATGAAAAGAGCACAATAGAAAGGACATCTGCACCTGTATGTTCATTGCCGCACTGTTCACAATAGCCAGAACACGAAAACAATCTAAATACCCGAAAACAGTTGACTGGTTAAAGAAACTTTTGTAAATCTACACAATGGAATACTATGCAGGTGTTAGGAAAGATGAAGTCATGAAACTTGCTTATAAATGGATGAAAATGGAGAGTATCATGCTAAGTGAAATGAGTCAGAAAGTCAGACATAGAATGACTGCACTCATTTGTGGAACATAAAATAACGTAATATGAGACTAACACCCAAGGACAGTAGAAACATGGCCCAGGAAGATTACTCCACAGTTGGAAGCCTGCCTCAGGAGCTGGGGTAAAAGCAGGTGGTATAGAGAAGGGCTCACTAAGTCAATGATGGTTGGAGGGATTGCTCAGTATGGGAGATGTGTGCTGAAAGTAGATAAAGGACTAAATGTGATAGCCTCTCAGCATCTGTATTGCAAACCATAATGCCCCAAAGCAGAGAGAGAGTAAGAAGAAAATTGTCTGCCGTAGAGGCAGGGGTTGGGGTTGGGTGAGGTGAGGGCAGTGGGGGTGGCAGAAGGGATACTGGAGACATTGATGGTGGAAAATGTACACTGGTGGAGGGATAAGTATTTGATCATTATATGACTGAAACTCAGTCCTGAAAGCTTTGTAACTGTATCCCACGGTGATTCAATAATAGTAATAATAATAAAAATAATATAAAAGAAAAAAAGAAGTGTCTTTACTTGTACCCTCACTAAACTTGGGAGTTAATATTGACATTAGTGATTGTGGGGGAAAAACAAAAATACTTTATGTTTTAGAGGAAAATAAGAATTGTTATAAGAGTCTTTGGATCATCCCAGTTTTCACTGGCTTAAGAGTCTCTTCTACTATGAGTTTTACAGACTAAAAGATAAACTACAACAGATGCCAAGGTTAGCGATATACAGATATACACAGAGCACTGTGCCTGTTAATCTTGAAATGTGTTGTAAAAATAATAAGAAAATGAAGAATTATATTTTATTAATGAGAAAATAATCTTACAAAGAAAGTATACTATCTTTGAAAAGCTGTAAACTGTTATAATCTGGAGTTTTTTGAAACATTTATTTCAAGAACACTTTTATATCACATAGGGTTCTTCACAGGGATGTAGCTCAATGGTAGAACTCATTCTTTTTTATATGAGTCCCAAGATTCGACACCTAAAACCAAAAACAATTTTTCTCAGTCTGTATATCTGAAGAATATAAATAATCACTAAACAATTTACTTCTTAGGCTGACATTAGCTTCCACTTTTAATGTCTTGTAAAGTTTTTATTGTAATTGAAAACTTGCTTTTCTCCTGTCTAAAGTTCTTAAAACAAAATTTTAAAATTTTAGATTCTGGATAAATGTTGTCTGTGTGACAAATAAGTATTTACTGATTAGGAAAATAAATGATCATTTAACCGTGTGCCTAGTCACTGAAAGGTGCTATGAGTTGTTAGTTATGAATTAGTTGTTAATTGGAAATATTAAGAACTTCTTTCAAAATAATCCAGTTATCAGTAAAAAAAAGTCAAGGCAAAGACTGGATTTATTTTCTGGAAGGCTAGTTTAGTTATGCCAGATAACTCTAGTGAAGTGCTTAATTTAGAGCTTTGCTGTCATAGCAACCTAATTACAACGTGAAATAAGGTTCTCCTACCATGTTTCTATAATGTTGCTTCTAAAGTTCCAAATAAAACTGAAAGAAACTTGGGAGTGGGAGAAAATAAAGACAAAGACTATTTGTGCTGATTTATATTTTTACTTTCTTAGTCTTCTCTTTAATGGTCTGAAAAATCTAGTGATCACCTAGCAACAGCTAAAGTCCTTGTTAAAATATAATGTATCATCATATATTTCCTCTGCTTTAAACTTCTCATTTCTTCCTATTTTAGCCACAATAAAATGGAAAACTATATCTTAAAAAAGATATCCTATGTGTTCAGGTACTTTTTTGCATCTCTAGGGAATATACTTGACTACTCTCTTCCTACTGGGTCAGGTCCAGCTGTGCAAATTTTCAAGTTCTGATTGATACATTTACAATGTCCCCATTTAAGGTCTTGGGAAAATGTGATATTTCATATACATATATTCATATTACATTTACAGGAATAGACAAATAGACAAATGTACATATTATTTTAAACATAAAAGGGGACTATTTACTCAAACAGTTAAGCCACTGAAACACCAGGGAATATATCATAGCTATTTTAACTTTAGTGTTTCTAAATTATTCTCACAAAATTAGAAAATAAACGAGGGTAAATGCATGCTTTATTTGAAGAATGAAGGAATAAATGAGTGGAGAAGAACACAAACATACTCTGTACATTTTCCTGACCTTTGTGGCTGAAAATAGAAGCTTATTCATAGATGCATAATGCAGCAAGTTACTAAGTAGAGTAAAACTGAGGCTGAAAGCTACATTTTCATTCAAACACACTGACCCTTCATGACATGTTAATTTGTACTGTACATGTGTACTTTTACACCTATAGTTTCTCAATACAAATTAATCTAGATATAGCATTCCTCCATATAGAAAAATAAAAACAAATGTGTACTTACACAAATAAGTAAATAAATTTTGTATATGAAATATTACTGAAGATTTTGTGGTGAGATTTTTATTCTTTTATAAGAAAGCCAGACAATACTGTCACTCTTTGACCATATACTCCTCTTTAGACATTGAGTTTAGTTTTGTATTCCTAATAATAAGTCATTAAGGTAGATTTTGATAGCCACAATTTTCAAATAAACAAAATTAAATGTAGCCATAAGAACTGTCACAATGTCACCGTATCAGAAAAGGTCAGAGATAGAACTAAGGACAAGGTCACACCCATGATCACTCTAGTCTAGTCTCTCTGTAGATAACATTGGAGAACTTTAGTAATTATTGCTATAAATGAACTAATCTTCTTACATGGAAGTTACCGTGATCATAGTGTACATGGGGGTCCTGACTAACGACTCTAACACTTCTGGACAGGGTGGCAGGGGATGGTTGCGGAGGTGCCAGTGCTGGATTTGCTATTTTGGGCTGCAATGTTACGAATGAAATTGTCTTTATAATTTTATTAACTTGACTGGTATCAAGAATGCATCAATCATGGCCATAGATTGTTAAAAAAAAAGCATCCATCTAAGGAATGAAATTTGGATAATGTCTACAATAAGAAGGCAAAGAGGATAGGAAGAAAACATAAGATGAAAATGAAACAATTTGCAATTGTTGTCTCCTTTTCCTAGGAACAAGTATCTTTTAAAGCTTTACGATTATAATTAACTATTGTGCATGCTCCGACTTTGAGCAGGGGAAAGAAAAAACATTTAAAAGCAAAAGAAAAGCCCATTGTAATGGCTTAGAAAGTAAAAAGTAATTTAATTTTTCATTCATCTGATGTTAATTTATTCAGAAGCTAATAATCTATTTATGGCTCCGAGCTTTTCACAGAGGAGAGGATTTCTCTCAGTGAAACAGGTTTCCTTATGATCCTTTCCTGATAGAGCCTTCATTTCAGGGCCTTTACAATTTTTCCAGAAAAAGACAATATGCTAATAAGAATATTAATCATATTCTATAGACAGATATAATTTGGAATCCTTAGAAAACTTATGCTCCTAACTCTTCTTTAGCTGTTAGAAACAAAAAGAGCAACTAAACTAGAAGAGAGGAATAATAGATGGAGGAAGGAAAAAAAGTGAGGGACTGCAGAGTTTCATAAAAAATATGGGTTGCCTCTATATCCATGTATAATGGGATTAAATTGTTGTGGCCTTATAAGTAGAAAATCTAATTCCACTGCTGCCGAATCACCTATAGAATAGAAACTATAGTGCTAGAAGGAATGTAGAATCTTCAGAAGTTGATATCTTAAATGAATTCATGATGAATAAAATGAGTCTCATAATGACAGCTTAAAGATATAATTCATAAAAATGTCATTAAAGCACATTATATATATTGCCTTTTTGTGAACTTCTACTTGTATTCACTACTCTCTAAGTGTACGACCATAAGTACAGTTAGAATGTATAATGGAACCATCACTTCATTCTGAACTGAAGCAAATATAATTTTTCACCAAATATAAAATCCTCATCATATTAATTTGAAGAGTAAAATTTATTTTATGAGGCTAGAAAGAACTGTCTTCCATGTTACAAACTCATTTCTACTTCCATTCTAAAGGTTAGTATAACATTGACTAATTGGCATGAACTTGGAAATGAAATATTTATTCAGCACATTATGAAACTTGAGCTGTGATGTTACTATGACTAACGCATTGATGTTTTATATCAATTAAGAAATTTTAACAAGTATAGTGTATTTTAATGAATTCTTTTCTGTTTTGTTTTGTGTTGTTTTTAGAGTTGTTTGTTTTGGTTTTGAGACCAAATCTGGTGGCAGTGTTCAGGACTTACTTCTGGCTCTGCACTCGGGATTGACTCCTTGTAGAGTTCAGGGAACAATATGTTGGCCAGAGATCTAAGGTTAGCAGCACACAAGGCAATGCCTCATCAACTATACATCTCTCCTGTCATTACCCCTTTTCTGGCACTTTACATAAGAAAGTAACACTTAACAAAGGACATGCAATTGTTTGAAATACACCTTTACTTAGACAAGTTAAAAAAAAATCCTGCCACATGAGATTCTTCCAGAAAAGCTGAAAGTAATGATTGTTAAATCAAAAGTATCTTTATTCAGAATTTTAAACACGATTTGCATATTTAATATGTATAAGCCTTTAGGAAATGTTGAAATGAAATTCAATTGGTTTGTTTCTAACTCTAAAACTTTCAGAATTTGACTTCTTGACTTTCTACTTCTGATTGGATGAGTTAGTTATAATGGTATACTGTCGACACATTTAGATAGTGTGTGAATATATTTCTCTCTATGACACTAACTTATCTTTAGGAACTGAAAAGGGGGTTTCTATAAATTATGCTTCTAGCACTCAAAGAAAGTGTTGTCTTTGATCTTGTAGGTAAAAAATCTTTGTACCTAAGGGAATGAATTAATTCCAATATTTAATAAGATGCAGTCATTAGTAGACAACTTAGGCATTCATACTAGAAATTCACATTAAATTTCCTCAGCATTATTACAATCTCATCTTAGTTCTGGGCAATGAATATCTTTGGATGCTTGACATCTATACTTGAGATGAGAGACAAGTAACACAAAGAAAGGTATTACAAATAAAAGGTAAATAGCACTACTAATTTAAGATAAAAATTAATTTCCTCCACTAATGGTACTTTATAACTGACACAAATCTAAAAGTTCTTGCTGCTACATTTCCATTACCGTCTACTTCTATAAAACTTTATTGAAGATGAGTACACTTACCACAAAGGGAATCCAGTTATGGCATTTGCGGTTTCTTTTGTTCCTCTCATTAAAGTTTTCCCAGATCTCTGAAATAGAACTATCTTTCAAAAAGAAGTCTAGAGGCATCACATACTGTTGTAAGTGGAATTCAGATTTACTGTGACTTCTGAGTACCAAAATAGTCTGAGCACCCTGTGTGATACAACCACTCAGAGAGGGCAAAGGAAACCATGGCCACAACACACTGCCAGACAATTGTCACCACACTCCAAAGTAGTAATGACAAGAAACAGGTTTGAAAAATGCTTATATTAAAATAGGTCTTATTTATGACATACTACATTATTATTAATAAAACTGGATATAAAAAAGACAAAATAATATTTTAGTTTATTTGCAGTAAATTTCCTTCAAACTTATTTTAATTGAATATATTAAAATTTACTTGAGGTTCCACAGATGAAATAGTTTACTCTAGAAAGCTCATAATATTTCGTTCATTATTTGTAAACAATATTGAAGCAAATGATGCAGGAGTGACGACAGCTGGTGTCTGTTCACCTTCTACAATTCCCAGGCTCTTCAATCACAATCACGGTCCTCCCATTTATCGATTTTGCTCTAGTGGGCCCAGTAACATTGTGACACTTGTTACTGTGTTTAGCATATCGAATACGTCATGGAGAGCTTGCCAGGCTTTGCCGTGTGGGCGAGATACTCTCGGTAGCCTGCCGGGCTCTCTGAGAGGGGTGGAGGAATTATTTTAAATAATTAAATTATTGAATAATAAAGAGTCTCAAACTCAGGGTTGGAAAGTAGAAAACTTTATTGTAAAGCAGAAGAAATAGAAAAAAGGAGCTCCTCAAGTTGGGAGAAACTTAGTATAGGACTAAGTTAAGAGGGAATTTTGTGTAGACCCCTTTAAAGGCTCCTTGCATTTCTTATCATTGTCAAGTGCTTACAAAAGATACAGGAAAGTCACAGGGTTGTCTAGCTGGTCTAAATCTCTCTGGGCATTATCCATTTACTGGTCTCTCTGTCAGCTTAGGCTCCAGGGCTGAGTTTTATGTTACTGGGAAACCCCAGGAAGCAAAGCCAGGGCCTTGAGGATGAAATGTGTCAGGTTGATGGGGCAGAGATAGAACATCTGACAAGAGAAACATCTTGCTTCCTCGTTCACTGGAAAAGGGAAGTTGAGGTTTCCTTTTTCAATGTTATAAGTTTATATCTTTTCTTTTATTATGATCCAGGCACTAAATAGGTAGGAATTAATGGGGGATGGGGGAGGGAGTGTGGACAGAAGTCAAAGGGATTCAGATACACAAGTGTTATAAAAAAGTGGTATAAGACCAGAGCCATAGTACAGCAGGGAGATGTTTGCCTTGCACGTGACCAATCTGGGTTCAATCTCTGGTTTCCCGTATGGGCCCCCAGGGTCCTGCCAGGGGTAATTCCTGAGTGCAGAGTCAGGAGTAACCACTGAGCATTGCTAGGTTTGACCCCCCCAAACAGACTCCCCAAATTTCAAAATCAAGTGGTTAGCTAAATATCCGATAGAGTCAACAACACTGAAAATGTGAAATCCGAACTTCAATAACCAAACTTAGAAGTGTGCCTGTCCACATGAGAAAATGCTCTACATCATTAATCATCAGGGAGATGCAGATCGAAACAACAATGAGATATCTTCTAATGCCACAGAGATTGGCCCACATCCCAAAGAACAAATCAACCAGTGTTGAAGCAGATGTGGCGAGAACGGGACCCTCTTCCACTGTTGGTGGGAATGCCAACTGGTTTAGCCCTTTTGGAAAACAGTATAGACGATTCTCAAAAAATCAGAAATTGAGCTCCCATTTGACCCAGTAATACCACTCCTGGGAATATATCCCAGAGAGGCAAAAAGTATAGTCGAAGTGACATCTGCACTTGTTTGTTCATGGCAGCACTCTTTACAATAGCCAGAATCTGGAAAAAACCTGAGTGCCTGAGAACAGATGGCTGGTTAAAGAAACTTTGGTACATTTACACAATAGAGTACTATGTAGCTATTAGAAAAGATGAAGTCATGAAATTTACATACAAGTGGTACTACATGGAAAGTATCATGCTAAGTGAAATTAGTCAGAAATAGAGGGACAGACATAGATTGCATTCATCTGAGGAACATAAAGTAACAAAATAGGAGAGTGACACCCAAGAAGAGCCGAGATAAGTACCAGGAAGTTTACTCCATGGCTTGGAGGACAACCGCACATTCTAGGATAAAGGGCAACTCAGATAGAAGAGGGAGCACCAAATAAAGGGTGTTGGGAGGATCCTCCCAGGATGGGAGATGCATGCTGAAAGTAGACTATAGACTGAACATGACTGCCACTCAATGCCTCTTTTGCAAACCACAGTATCCAAAAGGAGAGAGAGAACAATAGGGAATGCCCTGCCACAGAGGTAGGGTGGGATGGGAGGATGGAGGAGGGAGGGATACTGGGATCAGCAGTGGTGGAGAATGGGCACTGGTGGAGGGATGGGTACTCGATCATTGTATAACTGAAACCCAAGCACAAAAAATTTGTAAGTCTACAACTGTACCTAGTGGTGTTTCACTATTAAAAATAAAAAAAAATTAACAATGAATTAAAAATAAATACATAAATAAATAAATAGGTAAAGGTAAAGGCTCTCCTGTTGATCATCGATTTGCTCGAGCGGGCCCAGTAACGTCTCCATTGGAGACTTCGTTGTTACTGTGTCTGGCATATCGAATACTCTCGGTAGCTTGCCGGGCTCTCCGAGAGGGGTGGAGGAATCGAACTCGGGTCGGCCATGTTGGCTGCGTGCAAGGCAGATGCCCTACCCGCTGTGCTCGGAGAGCCCGGCAAGCTACCGAGAGTATTCGATATGCCAGACACAGTAACAACAAAGTCTCCAATGGAGACGTTACTGGGCCCGCTCGAGCAAATAAATAAATAAATAAATAAATATGCCTGTCAAGAAGGCAGGTTGGGGAGTTGGTGAGAAGGAACCCGGGATAACTGGTGGAAGGGGGTGTACGCGTGATAAGATCAGTGTTTGAATGCTGTCTGTCCAAAACTTAACTACAAATTCCTTTGTAAATCATGGTGCTTTAGTAGTTTCTTTTTAAAAAAGATAAAGAGAAATTTACATTCTTTGAGACTAATCTAGTACATAGCATATATATGAGTGTGCATGGACATAGTAAAACCTGAGATTTTATACAGAAAATACAGCTTAATAAGGTTAAACTTCTAATTCAAGGTCACAAAGCTATCTGAGGGCAGGGCAGATTTATCAACAACTCTTCACTCCAACTCTGGATTTTCTTTTGTACAAATTCTTCTAAATTATTATTTTAAATTATTTCTTTAGAAAAAGAAGGGGAAAAGAAGAAAGCTGAGAAGAAAGTGACTTCTGAAACAAAAAAGAAAGGTAAGGAATTAAAGAATTGACTCATAAATGGATTCTACTTGTAAAAGCTACAATTTTCTAAGAAATATAATCAATATTTATAAATGCTGTAAGCACAAATAAAATTGATAAATTAAGCAAAATTTAAGACTCTGCACTTGCAAATATGCTGCTGGTTATATTTTTCTTTTCTAGAGTTGTTGCTCAATGAGAGTTCAGTATTTACTTTGACCATGTAAATTTGAACATATTAATTTGATATGAATTTGGACATTACTATTGAATTTACTTAGTGAATTAAATTTTTGTTAAAAAATAATGTATACATTATTTTTATGTTTGTTAAATTTTGTTTTTAAATGGTTGTTTTCAAATAGTGCATCTGAAATTAATTCTAACAGATCCTGAGAAATACCTGAGCTTCTTATAAATTTTGTGACTTAACAGCTTATGGAACATAAATATTTTCTTCTAATATTCATTAGAAAACATATTTATTTAAACCATAATTAATAATTTTGCCCAATGTTTCTATTATGGTCATTTTTAAAAATCATGGCCAATATTTTTCCTTCCTGAAGAGAAAGCTCTACAAAACCACTGTTCTCTTAGGTAGACATTAATTTGTGTCTCTCATGACTTATTGTTCTGATTTAAGGTTATTCTGTAGAAGATAAATTGGATGCCTTTATGGCAGTCATGTGTGCCCTGAAATACATAAGAACTAAACAGACATTTGGTTATGGTACTCTCTTTTTTACTGCCAGAAAAAGAAGATGCCAAAAAGAAAACAGAAAAGGAAACAACGACCGCTGAAGTTAAAGAAAAAGGTATTGTATTTTCTCTGATTCATGAAAGAATCCTGAGGAAATCTTAAAAATATGCGAATGCAGGTACTTAAATGTTTGTGTGAAGATGGTCTAAGCAAATATTCTACCAAATAGAGATAAACAGAACAAGACATACTTTTAATTTATTTACTTTTTAAGAAAGACTATTGAATAGGGAGAGAGCACAAATCTAATTCTGAACTCAGTTCCCCTGAAACAAAAGTCAGATGAGTGTTTAGAAACTTTTTGGAGAGAGATCCCATGAGTGTTGGTTAATTGATCTTATTAAAAAAAATAATTTGGCTCACCTACAGGACAGAAGTACTTCAGAGTTCAGAACAAAACAATCAAAAAAGGTAGACCTGTACCCTTCTACAGAAACTAGGACATGTAGGTGCTATTCTTTTTTTAATTTAACATTTGGTATTTTCTTTTTAACTATGGTGTATAATACTGTTGATGTTAAGTTCATACATACATTATCCCAACACTACACCCACCATCAGAGTGCTCACCTCTCTACACCAGTGTCTCAAAGACTCGTCACATGACAACCCTGTCTTCACAAGGAAACTCAGTTGAAACCAACTCCCAAGTTCTGTTTGGCCATTTGTTGCTAAAGGTGCTCTCATGCTGAGTATATTTAAAAGAGATGACTCAGAGGTTCTTGAGAAAGTCATTCCTGGATTGTAAAACTAGAAAAAGGCTTTTCGAAAGATTTATAACTCAAAAGAGGGGAGAAATCATTAACAATTACACGTTTCCTAAAGTAAATGCTCTAAGGGAAGTCAGTCTAAGGTCAAGAAGAATCCTGTCCAAAGATAAGTAAAGCTATAGTGAACTTTAAGTCCATTCTGCTGAAGACAAGGAAATTTAGAAGACAAAGACATACCTAGTTTAAGAACACTTTCCTCTCTGGAGAATACCATGTTCTGTCTTGAATACATCTCTTTTTTCCCCTAATATATCTCTGAATTTCCTTTAAAAAAAACCCTATTTTGATTCACTAAAAAAGAAAAATAAAACAGAAACTGAGAAAATAATGTTTCTCGATAATGTATAGGGAAATTCAGTAGCTTAGATATTTGTTTAATATTAACATTTCATTCCATTCAAACCCGAGTATTGGCTTTTATTTAAGTTAAACCTCAGTCTATGCAAAAGAAGACGTAGCAGATATTATGGTAGAATAATAAGTGTTTTCATCCCAAATGTTTTTGTCACTGGTTCCAGTGATCCTTGAAAATCCACCAACAGATATATTTTATTCTTTTGAGTTATGGAAGAATTGTCCTTTACTAAAACATGAATCTCTTAGGTCCTGTAGGCAAATTGTAACAAATTCCTCTTGGTTATTAACAGATAAGCTGAATGAGATTTTCTGGTCTCGGAGAGCCCGGCAAGCTACCGAGAGTATTCGATATGCCAGACACAGTAACAACAAAGTCTCCAATGGAGACGTTACTGGGCCCGCTCGAGCAAATCAACGATCAACGGGAGGGCCTTTACCTTACCTTTTACCTTTCTGTATTAGAGGATGAAAACAATGTTTTAGGAAAACAAGCCAGAGAAAGAGTTTGGAAAAAGAATGCTTCTATGTAAGACATTGCCTAGGAAGAGATGGCCGGGGGTTGGAAGAAAATGATGGAAAAGCAAAGACCAACCTAGTTACTGTTGACACTTTATAAGTAGAAAACGAGAATTTAAAAAATTTTGACACTTTGCGAGTACAATAATGATAGAATATTAAAAGTTACAAAGATGCTCTGGCCATCAATGTTACTATAGAGACTTAAGTGATTGGTGGGTGTGGTTGATCATCAATTACTTTACTTTTACTTTCAATTTTTTTGTCCTGTGTTTTTGTTTCTTGGCCACACACAACTGTACTCAGGGCTTACTTCTGGCTCTGCACTCAGAAATCTTTCCTGGGAGGCTCAGGAGACTATATGGGATACCGGGCTTTGAACCCTGGTCAGCTGCATGGAAGACAAGCACTTAACCCTCTCTACTATCTCTCTGCACCTCAAATTTTAATTATTAAGCATGTGTTATTTAGACTTCTACTGCATTGTTAAACATTCATTTGATTTGATTTATGATATCTTTATTTCTTTGCCAAATATGGATCATGTCATGAGAAAGGAGAAACACAGTTCTGTGTGATGGATAATAATGAAAAACTGATTGGTTGGGTCATTCACTGTGTATCTAAATGATACATGACTATTGAAACAAGGTTCTCTCTCTGGAGCTATCAGTTTTGATGAAGCATTCACAGAGAAAGTTTGAATTCATATACTCAAGTATTCCTTACCTGAAGAAAATCCAAATCAGAAAGGCAAAATAACCCTCAAGCTTTGTTCATATTCAATGATGTGTCTTTCTTGGATTTTGGTTTTAGTTTTTGCAGGGCAGAGGGAAAACATATTTATGTGCAGTGATTGATGGTAAACTCTGATTTATACTCCTAGGAGACTGAAGTTATTAACCTAGCAGTCATGTCAAAGTGAGGTTGTGACTACTGGCTAAAGAACTGATTATGCCAATATCACTTTGTTTAAGTCTAGTGTTCCTTCACTGACTGTGTGGTTATGCAGCACATCTGGAAAAGGCTGCTCAGATACTGTTAAAAACAAGTTAGAGTTCTTTTTGACCAGTTTTCTGTTGACCATTTTCACTTTTTATGTGTATTAGGGGGTGGGATTGTTGGTTGTGTTCAGCAGTTATTCTTGTCTCAGGGCTCAGGGATCACTCCTCAGAGAGGCTGTGAGACCTGGAGGAAGGTAGAGGGAGACAACCCAAGCCTGATGCATGAAAGATAATTGCCCTCCTCATGATACTATCAAATACTCTCATCTCTATCTCTCCAGCCCTAATTTTTACTTTGGATATAACAAAATGCTTTTGTCTTTAAAAGAATGAAAATCATTTCCTCTTGTGGACAAAAATAATGATAAATCATTTGTTCATAATGAAGTTTACAAGTTTTTATGAAATTTACAAGTTTTCAAATTTTCAGCACTGTTTTTGTGAGAGAAAAAGGAAGACACACATAGAGTAAGAGCAAGCAGACTCAAATCCAGAGATTAATAATCCCAACTATATTTCATATGAAGGCAATGGGTGTTTAATTTCTTCCTTCCTGTTTGAAAGTAATTATGAAAGTAGTAAAAATTTCTAGAGATAATGAGAAAAATTGAGAGCAACCTGAAATCTTGACAAACTGGGGCACATATGTCATGTCTTCCTGAAATAGTCAGAGGAATATGGCAGACCATATGATATCACTATGCTAGCCCCAAATAGTAACAAATTTACAAGGCATAAGAAGTGTTTAGAAGCTTAGTTAATATATGAGTTCAACCATATTTTATTATATTTTATAATAACTTTCATATTACTTATATTTTAGGATCTATATTTGTTATGTAGCATTATTTTTGACATGTATAGCTTACTCTTAAGCCATTAATACACTTCAAACTTAAATTATATTGTCTAATAGTGAGCTTGTATTGAATAAAATGGAAAACAAGTTTTTATTTTTTGGGGGGGAGGGCACCAGCTTGCTCAAGTATTACTCCCTGCTCTGGGCTCAGAGATCACTTCTTCACCCCTCAAAGTCTCTGAGGACCGTATTGGTTTCAGAGATCAAACTCAGGTCAGCAGCTGCAAGACAAGTGTGCCCTAGCTGCTATACTTTCTCTGAATTGGTTCCTTTCATTTCTTTTAACCAAATACTGTTGATGATTTGTTAAGAAAAATTTGGCTGGTATTTCATATGATATAAAATTGCCAGCCCCCAAATTGATTATGCTTGAAACTGAGAATTTGTTATATCAGGGTTTGTTAAAATTGTCTACTTGAATACATTTCAAATGGTTTATTTTGAGTAAAAACTAACTAATGCCAACATAGAAATGGGAAAAGAACCATCAAGGTGTTTTCACAATTTTATGCTGCTTAATTTATCTGAAGAAATATCATTAAAAAATATAAAATCAGTAAAGTAAATGAAACTCTGAACACCAGAGACAAGGCAAGAAAGTAAAATCTCATGCATTGCATATCATTATGCAACCCCTGGTCTGATGCCCAGGACCATGTATGGCCTCCTGAATATCACCAGGAGGGAGTGACCCATGAGCACAGATCCAGGAGTAACCCTAAGCACAACAAGGCAGAGACCCTGCCACTGCCTTTCTAGATAAAACCAGAGCTAAGGAGAAAAGTTGGTCTATCGAGGTGAGTATAAGTCCTCAGTTATAGTCAGAAACTTCCTAATTACAATGAAGAAAGGAATGTTAGTGTGGACTATTTTATTAGTATAAGATATATTTTATAAGGAGAAAAGATTCCATGTAGAACTCGTACTCCACAAAGATGTTAGGACTTGGAAAATTGAAACCTAGGGATGTTATTAGATTGTTAACTCCAAGTTGCATCATTTAGTCAGAAAGGTGTGGTTTATGAAATTGCCTTGTCTCATACTCATTCCATGGCATCAAAAATATTGAGCCAGTCTCAACAATTTTTGTTCATCAAAGGCTTTCTGTTTTAGAGTCTCAGATTACATCTAGCTGGTAGAATAATCTATGCTGTAAGTGAGTTTGGAAGATGCAGATATTTGGTATCCTAATTTCTTGAACTGTATTAAAAGGATAGAATAGAAATTGAAAATGCCTAACAAGCTCTCTATAATGGAGATACTTTTATAATTGTTGAAATTAAGTTTCATATAACAGATATTTTTGGGGAGAGGGATAGATATGGGCCACAGCCAGGGCTTGCAGGACAAAGGAGGTGACAGTTATTAAACTAGGGTTGGTTTAATGGAAGACCAAACCTACTCCTGTGCTATCTCTACAACCCATACAATAGGTTTTTGAAACCCTGACTATCACAGTGACTTAAACTGTACTTGAATCTCCCTAAAAGTTGAAAATAATGGCTCAGTCAGGCAACAAGATAAAATTTATCTGTTTATCATGCTCACA